TACAGATGGTCTCAAGGGATTTTGGAGAAGCATCCAGAGGTCTGGACGTGGTGGGAGAGAGCTGCCATCACTTACGTGTCTCTTACGCGGAGACAAAGGCAGGCAAGGCTGCACGGCCTCCCGGTTAGCCTCACCAGCATCAAAGACCTGGGAGAAGAGCTGACATTCGATGAGCCGATGAGCCGCTCTTTCAGTCACATAGCAAAGAGAAATGCAAGTCTACATTGTTTCCAGCTACGGCCAGGTGGAGGCAAAATGTCCCTACCCTCCTTTGCTGAGGGTAGAACGAGCAGCTGACCCCTTATTTTGCTTAGAAGTTCAAGAAGAAAGGAGAGGCATGTTTAACGACTTGATGCTTAGAAGAATTGAGCTCCTTCTGAACCAACGTTTATGCGGCCAACCCACTACACCCCAGAGCTCCCCAAATTTGGTATATAAACCAGAGTCTTGGACAACAGAGGAGTGAAGCTGCTTTCTCATTTTAAAGTAAACTCAGTCTCTGTACCAATGGTTGTGTAACTGGGTGGTCCCTAGGCAAAGTTCTAGAGGTTTCCCTTTGCCTAGGGACCACCCAGTTACAATTGGGGGTGAAATAAAAAACAAGTTGAGAGCCAAGCACAGAGCCTGCGTAGGACAGGTGTTCACATTCATTAGACAATTGCTGAATATATGAATGCTAAATTCCTAGTGAAATGGGGGTTTGATTTATGCCTGTTCTGGAAACCAGAGAATGTTCATTAAGAATACAAGAGGTTTCAAGGAAATTCTGCCAGACCTATCGTGAAGGGAAGACCAGAGAGAAGGACAGAACAAATATCTGGAATCAACCCATGCAAGGGAAAGTCAGCCGAGCAGTAACAGAATCAGGCGTGGCAGAGCCTGCAAGAGGGTGGGAGATTTAGGTAGAGAATGGCCCGGGGACCTAATCACACTGGGTGGTGACTGCCCTGGCCCCTGGGCCAGGAGTCCCAGTCCCTGCCCTACCTCCCTCCCCTTCACGGGTGGTTCAGGCTGCAAGTAATAAAGCAGAGGGTCCTTGTGGCTGGTGGGGTGATACGCCAGCCAACGTGAAAGCAGGCAGGCCTCCAGAGTGCTAGCGATGAGAAAATAACACTGAAGAAAAAGTCCTTTTAACACAGCATAGAAACTGTTTTTAGCAAGCAGGTTTTTTTTTTTTTCTGTTCTTCCTCATAAATCTCTGGTCTGGGAAATTAAAGCTATAAAAACCTAAATTTGTCTCCCTGATAAAAGGAGATTTCACTTAGGACTGACACACTGTGGACCAGAACCCACTGAAACGCCAATGCCACACACCGAGAATTCCTCTCCCAACTCACCCTGCTCCGTGCAGATTCTGGCTGCCCCAAGTTTGTTCTCGAAGCCTTCACAGTTAAATCTCAGCTGGACACATGGCTAGCTGGCATCGCTTTACTAGGCCCTGTCTGCTAGAAAGGGGTCTGAGTTCCTGACAGCGTGCCCCTGTGGAGGCTCTTTGGCAGGGAGGGCGCCTCTCCCCCTTGTCTCTCCCTCCAGACTGGCCAGAACCTCAAACACCTTGAGGACCACTTTGAAGACAGTGGATTCACCTTAAGTCTGAATGTTAGGGCAGAGTCATTCATCAACTTAAAAAACCTGACGGGTGAGAGAGAAAGAAACCTGTTCTTTAATGTTTGATGTTTGAAAACAATGGATATGTTTTTACAGGGAAGAACAATAGCGAAAAACACTGAACCTAGAATGAGTCCATAATTTAAATGTGGAAACTTAGCCTAAAATATCACAGAAAATATTCTGTGAAACACATTTATTGCAAAAAGAACAAGGAAATTTTAGACAATCTCTAATTGTTGTAATGATTTGGGAGAATACTGGATTTATGAAAATGGAACCATCTGTGATCAGCTTTCAGATAAAAACATGGGTTCTGAATTTGGAATTCAGTGACCACAGTGAAACAGAAATTAGATACCGAGAAGAAAATGCCCCACAAAGGATAAATAATGATTATCAAAAACACAGAAGTAGCTGGGAGAAAATATGAGGGATATGGACTAGGATGTTAAAATATCTTTTGGGTAGAGACCCCGAGAATAACCAAATTATTCTCTAGACCACCTATCTTCTCTGATGAGCTAGCCTGACCTACAGAACAATTTCAGTTGAGGTGAACTGGCTTGGAAGGTTTGGAAGCAAAGTGGAGAGCAAGGCAGTGTGAGACTTGACCACTTCAGAACCAGAGGAGGGAGTTGGTCAGTCTCCTCTCACACAGGGGCATCCTGGTCCTTTCTTTCACTTCTGGGGAAGTATCCCAAAGGGGACATTCCCCCTTGTACTCTGACCTTTAC